ATGGTTGAACAATTCTCTGGATTGAAGTTTCATCGTCTTCCGCTCGCATGAAGTTTTTTTTTTTCATCTTTCCTCCCTCATGTCTTCTTTTTACTTTTCATTGGTAGTAAAAACCTCACCGGAGTAGTTTGGCTAGAATAGTTTGGTAGTAAAAACCTCACCGGAGTAGTTTGGCTAGAATAGTTTGGCTAACTGAGTAGTGTGGTGAGCACTAGGGATTGAATTTCAGTAAGAAACTCCTTATACAAATCAAAATTATCCAATAAAAACGGAAAAAAGTATGCACAAAATTGATAAAAGTTGAGGATTTTTTCAATTAAGTGAAAATAAAAGTATATTTCTGAAATTTTCCTACAATTAATTTAAATAAAAGACCAACATACTCTAACAAAATTAAAAAAATTAGAAGTATTTTAGTCATTTTTTATTTAAAGAAAAAAATTTTGGTCTCTTGTACAAATGTCAAAAGGGTGAGACAGTTGAGTTCCCATAATTTGTACTTAGTGCGATGTTTATGAAAGTACATAAAATTAAAATGCGATATGCACTAACAAAAAGTAGAACTTGAACAACTTGGCGAAAAAAGAAAGTTGAACATAAATGTAAAATATAAAATATATGTGATTATTTTTTAATATTAATAATAAAATCAGAAATATACCGTAAATATTAATCACCATGATAATGATATTTAAATATTTAGTATAATATAATATTCGTATAATAATTTAATTACTAGAATAATCATGAGACATTGTATATAACAATCATAATAATAATATATAATTAAAAGAAGCATTATATAGTAATACTATATTGATAATCAACTATTTTTATAGCATAATATTTGTCCTTTAATAATAACACAATATAATATGCTATATATAGTATATTACAGGGAAATTTATATCGATACTGGTTTTTTAAATCGTTATAACAAAATGGCCCTAAAATAGGTCGTTATTGCTCAAAGAGAAGCCCCTCTCGAAATTTTTTATTTTTCTTGTGATAAATTTCGCCGATCTGTTGTTCCTACGAACCTACCGCGGTTAGAACTAATTTTTTAAAAGGTTTAAAGCATTTATACGTTTGTTTAAAGCGGGTTAGATGTTTTAAAGATGTTCCTACGATCCTACCGCGTTTAGAACTCATTTTTCAAAAGGTTTAAGCATTTATATGTTTGTTTAAAGCGGTTTAGATGTTTTAAACGTTTAAGGTATCTATATCTCTGTTTAAGCCGGTTTGATGTTTCTAACATAGAACTGCATTTAGGGCTCATTTTTTAAAGGATGTCTGATATTTCTAACATCGAAAGACCTCTTTTTTTTTTAAGGTTTAAGATTGTCCGATATTTCTAACGTTTAGATCTCATTGTTTTTAAGGTTTAAGGCGGTCTAAGGAAACCTTCAAATAAAATAAAAAATGAGGAGAGAAGTACCTCCCCATAAATATCTTATATTTTTTAACCATCATGTAATAATGGTCAAAATAAAGCGGTACAGACATAATTTTCCTTATAATATAACACAATACAATACAACAATTTAAAATAAATATCAATATATTATGAAAAAGTTTTTATACAGCCAAGGCTATAAACAAGCTCAACTCAAAAATTTCACTAGATGAGGTTATTTTGATGCCAAATATCTTCAAATTGATTATCTCGATATCAAGATGCATGAATATGAAAAAAAAAAGAGATTTTAAGATTTGGAAATAAAGAATCTTGTATGCGTTTTTTTACTATAAATTTTCAATATTTTCAAGTTTTCATAGATCTACTTAATCTACACTATTTTTAAAGCTTTAATTTTTATAATTAGAGATGAAACTATATTTTAAGGCTATCACAAAGATTCTCAGCATTGAAACCACATTTCTCAATGCTATTTGAAGGCGAGATTTACTTTGATTGTTTTGAGCCTCACCTCTATACAAACCGCACCCATTTATTTTAGTATAGTAATAATAACTTACCTTAATAAATTTGTAATGTTATAATTTGGTTATTTTTTAATATTTTTAAAATAAATCATTATGAAGAATATAAATGATTGAAAAGTGAATATGGTTTATGGAATTGATTTATATATTATACTAAATAAATATACATTTTTTAGGGAAATGGTTTTAATGAGTCAGTTGTCCCCTACCAAAATTTAACTTAAACATGGATTTTAGATCCAAATAACTTTATAGTCTCATTCACAATGATTATGAATCGGAGAAAAAAAAAACAAAAAAAAATCTAAAAATGATTTTCCTTGTTTTTGTACTGGACCTTTTAGTTTTTGGCAGAGGACAGCTCGTTGATGCGATAAATATTTTTCTATTTTTATTTCCTCATTCCTTTTTGTAGATCATAATATTTATATATTTCTCTTAGTATATCAAGTTTAATAATTAATTCATATAGTTTGTTTATTCATAATGATAAATAAGGAAGCGCAGATTATTCACAACAATTGTTTAATCTCATTGGACTTTTTTAGGACATTACATTAAAGCATTGAAAAAAAACTAAATATATAAGTTATTTCTAGAATCATCAACAGAAATATATTAAATACTTACCCCTTTTTCAGTCTACTCCAATTTCTCAAAGCTTTAATATTTGAAATATAGGGCACATATTTAAATTACTATTGCATGATAATCTGGAGTTTTATACACAACAATTAAAACGAAAATCATGTCGATACTCACGGGATAAGCATGTTGAAGGTCATGTTAAAAGGCATCTGTCACAAGATTCTCATTTCAAAGGGATTTTGCAGTAAGCATCTAACGTTGACAATAGCAAGAGCCTCACAAAATAGAAGACATATTTTATTGAAAGAGTTATAAAAGTTTTAATTTATTACTTTTTAGGTATTTCATTTGTTACAAAACAATTATATTTAATATTAACTTAAGGGATTGACATGTGTCTTGGAAATGATGTACGGCATGTAACCTTCAAATGGAAGAATTTGGTATCATGTAGGGTATCTTTCTACTTTTGAACAAAAGCAATCTTATCTTTTTACGATAGAGAAAGATATTTTATTTATTAGATATTTTAAAATTGGAAAGAGAAAATCCATGTACTTTGAGAGATTTTAAGAGAGAATTAAAATTGATGAAAAAAAGTATATTTTTATTTACAACTAGTTAACAATAAATATATTACTCATAAATAATTATTTAAATAAATACTAAACTTCTAAGTTTGCACTTTTCATTAGTTGAGTATTTGAATACGTGTGCAATATGCGACACTCCAAGAGACGGTAGATGTAGATGAATATCTAAATTTAATGAGTGCTTCATATACAAAAGATAAATATTTGAGTAGACAATCTCTAATTTTTATAACACATATATTTTGCTCCTTGGGTAGCATAGTATTCATTTACACCCTTGAACAAAAGAATTATTTAGGACTTTTCTTATCTCAAATTTTAAGAAGCTTATTATTATTTTCAAAAGATAAAAAGCATAGATTTTGAGTTTTTTAACTCTTAGATCTCGCACTTCAAGAATTTAGAGAAAAGTCATAGATCTCGCACTTCAAGAATTTAGATTTTGAAGTCTCTAACATTTAGATCTCACCATCCAAGAATTGGACGGTCTCTATTCAATCTTGAGGCATTATTTTTCAAGCACAACAAGAAGGTGATTTAGAAAAAAAAAAAATTATTGAAATGAGTCTATGGGTTGAAGGTGTTACATCACCCAAACTTGGGGTGCTAAAGGTACTCCTCGATTAGGTTTACCCGAGGGAATAAATAGATATTATACTCTCACAAGAGTACGAAGTGTTTTGGTGCTTCCAAAAGGAGCATATTATACTCGCAAGAGTACGAAATGTTTTGGTACTTCAAAAAAATGCATGATCAATTTCTTATGGAAACAGTTTACCATTGAAAACAAAAAGTACACAATATATTCTGCAAAGGAATTGTATTCTAGGTTTTTTTTTTTTTTTACAATGATACAACATATACATACCCACCTACGTCAACTTATATTCTAGGGTCCAACTACCCAACTACGTCAACTTGTATTCTAGGACTACGTCTACTTGTATTCTACGTCAACTTGTATTCTAGGGTTTGCCATGCAATCCTGCATGGGCTTGACATTCTTTATGCAAAAAAAATTAACAGGGATTCATTTTTAAGGGACAAATAAATTCATTTTTTTGTATAAATGATAGGAACAGGATGATCATCCTCCATATATAAAAGATAAATAGCCTATTTTTACAACCCCTTAAAATTAACACCCTAGAACCGAATGAAAAAACCGCATGCCCTACAATAGCGCAGAGACCATAGAATTATCTGGCCACAAATGTGTTTAGATATTCAAAATCTATTACTTTACTAAAATACTCTAGTGATTATTGGACCTGCAATCTATTACTTCCTCTAAAATATCTATAACTTCCTCTATGCTGATTAATGGCAATAACACCCTCCACTACAACGTCATTTGCCAAATGTAAATTTTAATCCATCTCCCTCAATCCAATTAAAAGGAAAACCAAAATTTCCCTTTCGAGATTGTATTCTATAGCCATTAGATATCACATTCGATAGCTTGAGGAGTTCACAAAGATCAAAAAATTTATTTTTGAACTTTGAATATAATCAATGATAATCATTACAACCACCAAATTCAAAATATAAAAATAATTGTGATTTTCATGTAGCAAAAGTAAATGATCTCTTTATAGACATTTCATTAACACGTGAGTGACATGGATTTATTCAATACTGACACCCAGAAGCAAAGAAGCTGATTTAGAAGAAATTTTCAAACCGAAATTTGGAGATCCCATTTGAGCACCAAATGAGTATATTTCCAATAAAAACTCCAAAAAATAAAAATATGTATTACAGAGATTTTGCCCCAATGTAATGAATGAATCATTTCGCATAAGTATAAAAATTATTGCACAATTAGAATGAGACTAAGATGCATCTGCACGCCAAACCAGAATCAAATACAGGAGAACAAGATGTATTTGAGAGACAGAGAGACCACTTCACATTAATACTCAAAACACATAAATGAATATGGCATGCCTGTGCATTCTGTCCCTCTAAATCTACTCTCCATAAAACTACATTTAGTCTGCCTCGCCGAAATTCCTCTGCAAAAGCTTCATGAAAATGCATACATAAGGGCATAGCCTCTGAAAACTCTTCATGAAAATGCGTGCATAAAAGAATATGCCCTAAACACCACTCAGAGTAGTGGTCCCTCTCTCTAGTTTGAGTTATCAGTGAACTCACTACCTACCATCCTCTGAAAGAAGCGAGCTCAAGTACTCGGATGCATTATCTAGGCTAGAAGCTCGACTAAGTGGAGCCACCCTTTTTCTCAGTAGGGATTCGATGCCACTAAACAATGGCTTACGCCCACCTTTAGGCCGCGATCTGAACTGTTCGTCCAACTCCACAAAGTCATCCTGACCAGCAGTGCAACACAGGATCAGTAGATACACATTCAAAGAAACAGTCATGGAAAAAGAATAGCACATCAAACACAGGTTGGAAGATATGATTTGATTTATAATCTAGGTCTGTTTCAATATGCTATACTGCATTTGCATTGGGCTGGAGAGAGGAATTCATCTCAAATAAAGAAAAAAAAGGACACATTAATTTATGCAAGATAAAACATCCCAACAAAAAAAATTTCTCTGAAACAACCAGTCAGGATCAAAGAAAATGAAACATGTGATCACTAGAATGTAAATTACAATGAATTCCTGTAGACATTACAATTATAATTACAAAGAACTACAAATCCAAACGACAATGAAATACTATTGAATAATTATTATCACGAAAATAGGAGAAAGAATATCCAAAATTGGGATTTCAATCTGCAAGTGTTTGGAGACTCACATGAATATAAACATGAGACTTCTCATGATTATCACGCACATGCTTGTAAGGGAACTTGCGACCACAATGCGGTTCTCTACAGGTAAAGGGCCGCAGCTCAAGGTGAACTGCTTTCTCATGCTTCTTCAAGTTCGATATCTGCAATTCAACCAACTAAAAAACTTAAAGCAACAAAAAAACTCATAAAATTAAGGAGAACTCCACTAGCAAAAGCAAAAATCGTGGAAGGTTAGAACTGGAGAATATCCTTAAGCTTGGGTGAGGCAAAGCATAAAGAGCAGTGCATATAAGTGGGTGACCTTTTCATTCAGAAGTACATAAATATAAAACATGATGGAGATAAAGAAAAAACAGAGAACGGTGCTAAAAAGGTGCAAAACTAGAAATAAAGGGAATCATTAATCAGATGATCAGATAATCATCACATCATATAAATACATAAATTTACAACATGAAATAATCAAAGCTATATTATTTATTTGATGTTGCATACATGTCCTTTTTACAATCTTAATATCGGGTTTCTTAAAGGAAAATAGAGTTATGAAATTAGAAACTCACGGTTGTAAAGATATGACAGCATCCCCGGACAGGGCACTTGATTCGTTCAATGGAGACTTTATTATCATGGGTACGAAGGTGCCTCTTCATGTTCTTCTTCAGCTGTCGGCTCCCACATACTTCACATAGCACGTATCGGTGGTTAGACTTCAGATGCTCCCTGAGAGCTTCAATGTTAGTGAAGTGCTTCATGCACTCTGGATCACAACAAATTACCTCCACTGAATCAAGCTTGACTGCACCCACAGAAATCAAAGTCATGAATGATTGCAGGGGCATTAAAGAACAAAGGAAAGGAAAGTAATCTAGGAAAAAGATACCAGAAAATCCAAAGAAAGCGATTCGGAAAATGCAAAACAAAAGAACCCAAACAATCATATCTGATTCCTACACAAATAGAACTGGAGACTTGCAAATACAGAAAAAAATGAAAATAAAATGGTAAGCACTAGCCTACAAGTCCAAGGATTTAAGTATAATGCAGAATAAGAGAATAATTATCTAAAATTTCCACTTTTCTTTCAAGTGACCTCTAAATATCAAAAAGAGCCAAGTTTTTTTTATTTAGGTAGTTCAAGTGGGATGGGGTCTCTTATTTATGGTAGAAATGGAATTTAAGATATCATGTTGAGGCGACCCACCACCTAGCTTTATCCCATTCTCTAAAAAAAATACAAAAAAAAAAAAGTATCAAGTTATTATCCAAGCCTTATCCCAATTATTTGGGGTAAGACTGTTCATGATAAGATGTGGCAAAGTTTTATGCTAGCTACCTACCAAACACAACTCACCTCTTTTACTCAGGCCAAGCTAGGGAAGAAAAAGTTTAAAGTCCTCACTCTTATTAAAGGGGTATATATATTTCATATAAAAGATACTACAAAACGCCTATAGGTGAAAATGAACAGTGATTTCGTCTACCCTCAACACCATTCAAACTTCATCGCAGGGTCACAGTTGTGTCGTAGTGTTTCAATTTTCATTTTTTTTTTTTACTAATCGGAATGATCTGAAATTTCGAACATGTGTACATCTTAATGAGGCTTATTTTGGTCAATTTTTATTTTACAAATAATTTTTTTCATAATTTTATTAGGTACGCCTCGCTAAGACATACACCCGCTCCAAATTTCAAGTAATTTGAATTTGTAGAAAAAAAATAAAAATTGAAGCACTACCGGCCAATTGTGACCCCCTGT